GAAGAAAGAGGACCGAAATCGGCAACGGAAACGCCGCGGGAAGGAGAGAGAAAGCTCGCCGAAAAATCGGCCAAAGTCGGGTAAGGAAGACGAGATCCACGGATCCGGGTCAACCCGAACCCAAAACACGAGAGAGCCAGCCCATTCCTTCCCTTGGCCTCTGCCTTCGGCCCAGCCCAACTATAGCGGCCCAAACCTCAAACCAGCCCAGAAGCTACGGTTCAGTTGAACCAACCCAGACTAGACCCACGGTCCAATTGAGTCGGCCTGCAAACCAAACACTTGCGGCCCAGCCCAGTAAGTCGAGGCCCAACGATTAGTCTTGGCCCAGTAGCCTTCCACAGCCCGCGACTCGAACCACGACTCGAACCGGACTGCGACCTGCGATTCGACCCGACACTACCGCTCGACGTGGCTCTTTCTGCTGCTGCCACGTGTCACACAGTGGCGCAGGCAATCCCTCGGCTCGGCTCGGCGCAAACGGCTCGAGCCCCCTCCGGTGACTCCAGCGGCTGTTCGGCTCGGCTCACCTGTTTTCAGCCCGATTTCCACTGTTTCGACCCTCCCGGATCTGTTTTCGGCCCCGATTAAGGTATTCGAGGCTGTTTTAGAGCCGTATTTTACATTTATTAAATTATAGGTAAATTAATTGTGAAATACTAATGGAAATAGTGAACGGTGTGATAGAAAACAAACCCCGGCGACGTAGGAAGCAGCTCTCACGAAACGGGAACTTACATTTAGCTATTTATGGAGTACTTCGGTCAAGGTCAACCAAGTAAGTGGCCTTACTATAGGATAGGCTAAATAAATTGTATGAGTTATGATGATGTGTGGATTATGATGCTCGATGATATGTGCAGTATATACATATTTTGTTGAGTGATGCTTGATATGTTTGACGCACGTTGTGGCATTATGATGAGCATGATGATTGCATGATTTTTACCTTAATATGATGATGTTTTCCATATTGAGCATGCTAGATGATGATGAGTGCCATTTTGCATCATGTCATTAGATCGACGTAGGACACAACCCTAAGAGCATGAAAATGATATTAATATAAATATCCACGAGTATGCGTTACCTAGAGTAACAAAGAGATGAGACTAGAGGGTTGTGTCAGAAGAGACATTATGATGGATTTAGAGGGACCTCATGCATATTGTATGTTCATAAGCATAGGGCTACTTCCCCTGGAGATGATGAGTGCGGACGCGTACCGTATGATGAGCGCGAATGCACACAGGTGCAAATGCACACAGATGAGGGTGTTCATGAGGCGCATGACACTATGGGGTTCCGCTGACCTCTGGACGTCGCTACAGATTAGCTTGACCAGAGGGTCCAGGGGGTGTGCGAGCGCCCTGGGGATTCACACTCGCACGTGTGAGTCGTGTGTAGGGAAGTACTACACATCCAATTTGTCCGAGACTGGAGGCGACCCCTAAGATGATTAGAGATAGGTCCCTAAATCATGATTGCATGTGTTTGCATTTGCATGGCCCCTATAGTGGGGCCACTTACTGAGTATTCTTTGAAATACTCAGGCCGTGTGCCACTTCATTTTTCAGGTAAAGGCAAGGCGCACTTGTACGGAGGACGACGGCATCGCGAGCAGAGACTGTGACACGTGCATAGGGTAGACACATATTTAAATTTCTAGTCTTAAGTTAGAATAGGTTGTTTTGCATTTCATTGTTTCAAATTATTTTGTATTTGTTTTTGTTTTCTCTAAATTTCAGTATTTCATATTTAAACACGTAAGACCATGGCTGTGTTTTCCAGAGAAGAAGTTGTTTAAAACGTTTTTTTTTAAGTTTACGTTATCAATTATGTTCATGTAAGAGTTATATTTCCACGTTATAGATGAGCATGAGACGTTAGTAGCGACTCTGAGTATGTGGAAATTTAAGGTTGTTGCATACGTCCTATAAGAACCACATAAAAATTTAGGAACCTTTCATAACATACCCTAGCTAAATCTCATGCTATTTATCAAAATAAACCCCAACACAATATGTCTTTGACAGGTAGGAACTATAATGACCTTAGATTGTAAAATAAGGGCGGAAACAGCTTCAGAATGGCCAAAAACCTAGGAATCGATATATAATAGAGTTACCTAACCGATAAGCCGAGTCGCTGAGCCGACCAACTAAGCCGCCAAGTCGAGCCACGGTAATTGACGGATCCGAGCCTACGAAAACACCAAGCCGAGCCGAGAGGAGCCGCGGCTAACGCCTGATTTGGGTGGTGTGAGCCCGCAAGTACACAGACGCCGAAACCCGACCCCATCCAATCCCTCTTCTTCCTTACCCGAAAGACACAAAAACCCTAGACGCGATTTTTCCTTTTCGATTACAACAAGACTTCGACACTTATGCTCATCCCTGTTGTCGTTTCCCCTGCCACTCCTCATTGTGCAACGCCCACGACGTTACTCCACTTCTACCCAAAAATCCTCAGTGAAAACTCGAAGCCTTGCGTACGTCTCACGATTTCCCTCTTCAAAACCCGTATGTTTTCTCTCATAGATGCAACAATCTAATTTTAAGGGAAGGGAATGACTGATTAGGTATTATAGGGTTTTAGAATAAGGAAACTTAAGAGAAATAGAAATGTTTCTATTAGGCAATAAATGTCTCGCCGGAAATCCCGCGATTTCCAGGGAGATTTCGTGAGACCATTTAATTAATTATTTTATTTTATTTTAATTTATTTTTTCATAAACTCGAATCGTTACAATTACAACTCGAAAAAGATGCTGAAGGAACCTTGATGAATTCCACTAAGTATAGGCGCATCGTCAAAAGTCTAGGGTACTTGACTCATACTCGTCTGGACCTTTCATATTTATTGGAATGGTGAGTAGGTACATAGAAAAACTCTCTATGATGCATCATCAAGCGGTTAAGCACATTCTCTGCTATGTGAAGGAAACCACAAGCTATGGACTAAAGTATAAAGAGGGCGAGGTCTTAAAGAACTAATCGACTTTACAAATAGTGATTTAGCTGGAGACATGATGATAGAAAAAGCACCGAAGGAATGACATTTTATCTCAACGAAAATTTGATCTTTTGACAATATCAGAAGCAGCGAACTGTAGCACTATTTTTCTGTGAGGTCAAGTTCATGGCAACAACTGCGTCATCGTGCCAAGCATTTTGGTTGAGAAACTTGTTAAGTGAAGTGACCAGAAGTAAGCTAAAGTTGATAACTCTCTGCGTCAACAACAAATCTGCGATTGCATTGATGAAGAATCTTGTATTTCACATACGTAGTAAACATATTGACACTCACTTCCATTTCATTCGTGAGTGTGTCGAGAAGAGACAGATCATTCTGAAGTTCATATGCACCAGGGAGCAATGTGCAGACATTTTCACCAAGGCCCTAACAATGGGTTAAGTTTGCAAAGATGCAAGAATTGTTGGGAGTGAAGAATCACAACAAAGTCAAGCTTACCGGGAGACTGTGAGCCAATAAGCTTGACTTAGTAAAAGATGTTACTAACTTAGGGAGTAACTTTAGGAGAATAGCTAGTAGCTGCCAAATTGTGGACCAAGTTGAGTGACTTAATTAGGAAGATTGCGATGGTGTTGTTATAATACATGCAGAAGCAATTTGGATCTTATGCGCTTTAAGTACATCAATTATAGTAAATTAACTAGCATGTTCATAAGTATTAAAACTCAAGAAGTTTGAGTACTAACCTTTTCCAGTTCAAATTCGTTTTTCCTCACGAACTGGTTTCGAACCACCATTATTGTCTTCCCTACTATTCTCCAGCCTTAGAACGAGATTGTGGAATGCGGTGAGTGACTAAAATTGGAAGAGATTTAATATATGTGAAGAGAGAATTTTTTAAGAACTTTCTCAAACTTTTTTTTTAAGAAGAAAGTTTACATATACCTTGATGACTATTTATAAAGTCATATTTGCATGTTGATGCAAATGTGAGATTACCAAATTTTGACACTTAAAATTTCACTCAAATTTGTAGGGTTTATTTGGCAATTATGGGAAACCAAATTTTGACACTCAAAATTCCACTGACTCAAACTATTTTTCCATTAGATGAAGTCAACATTTTTACTTTATCTATTTTAATTCAACAATTAATTTCGAATTAAAGTAATATTAAATGATTAATTAAACTATTTAATTAATATTTAACATTAATTCAAATGTCAATCCCAACACATATTGATTAAAATATTTAAATATCTCAAATTCTCTCTTTTTGTTTAATTTGTAAATAAAACAAAAATGCGGTTAAATATATCGTATATATTTAGTGCATATTCCCTAATTTGAATTCGAACACTTCGAACTCACTCGTCACACTGTTCTATGGTTTAGTTCGATATGAGCTAGAAAGGGGACCAATGGACCTATAGATCATGGGCTCCAACGATCCGAAATTAACCGGCTAAACTCATTAACCTTATTAACCAACATTTGTTAACTACGATGATACTCCATTATAGCATAGTAGTTGCACTCCTCTTCCTATAGATATATTTTTGTCCATTTGATATAACCATGATTAGTAAATCGATCCTTCACAGGTTGTTTGTAACTAGAGCTGGGTCAATTTATCGTTTTACCCCTGAAGTTACTTCTTGTTCCTTATGTCCCACTGATCTTCTAATGAACAATTGGTTTGTGGTCCAACCAGCAGACTGAATCCTCTCAGGCCAATGAAAGGGTGGGGCCCCTTGTTCAAGACCTGGAGTCGGTATTTAAGGGAACTACCTCTCTACTATCCTTAAAAGTGGGTAGGAGTGAATTCCATCTTCTACCCCCAGTCATTCACCCAGTCTTACCCTGAAATGGGAGGCCTATTGAGTCGGCGAACTCGAGTCACTCTCACCCATGCGAATCTAAGGATAATTCCGAATAAACAGGAGTTCATGGTTAGCTTAGGATTAAGATCGAGTTACCTAGGTCATCGAATAAAAAAATCAGTCTCAACAGTAAACGACATTAAAAAGTGAGAGTGATTTTCTTCATGGTCCGATCTTATGCAATACTCATTGCATAGGATGCCCCCACTCACATGTCTCCGCTTGTACAATTTAGTCATCACACTGTTTATATCATATAAAAAAGTGGGCCGCATCTATAGTGTCCCCAAGATAAGGTACTCAGTCTTATCCCTATACTATAAATCATTTTGACTATATACTTGAACTTGATCCACTCTTATGTCTCTACATATAGTTCAAGTAATCATACTATAGTTAGAGTGTTCTTAGTTTATTGGATTTAGATTAATAATCGTAAAATTCACTTTATTCAATAACAATCTTTACTAAATAAACATCAATAATACCTATATTGAAAATAGAATATGTTTTTGTTTACAAACTATGAGTTTTAGGACATAAAACCCAACAGATTGTGAGTGGTTTTTAACTTGAGAAGTTCAAGAAACTTGTTAGTGCTTTCTCCACTATATGTGTTTAAGGCTCTTCTACTTAAAAGATTTCTCCCCTCAAGTTGTTATTTTTGCTTCAGTTGTTTGTTTTAACATATTTCGATCATAGGTCACATCCAACAAACGCTAAGGCGCTAGGGCTAGAATGGTATTCATGTTATCCTAGGTCAATATGTTTTTAGTAGACCGAGCACACTAGGATTGTACGCAGTGATTAGAGATCTAACCTGAGTGCACCTAGAGGTTGCTTTAGCCCTGAATAGATAACTCTATCCGGTAAACATTAAATAAGATTTAAATCACTTAAATGATTTAAGAACATAGTAAACCTTTACAAAACCTAAGAAATTTTAAGAGAACTTATGAGATCACTAGCCATATGAACACTATCAATATAAGGAATCACTATGTACAAAAACAGGTCAAAGCCCATAAACCTGCCTTGAGAAGGGACGAGGGACAACATGAATAGGCGACACAAAGAACTGCTATTGTGTATAGATGTAAACCTGCCTTGAAAAGGGACAAGGGACTACATAATGAGAGAACATGAGGAACCATTACTTTGTGTAGAAACGGGGTCAAAGCCCATAAACCTACTTGGTAAGGGGACGTGGGACTACATGAGCAGGCGACATGAGAAATGGCTACTTTGTGCATATGTAAACTCATCTTACGAGGGGATGAGGTACTACATAAATAGATAACATGAGGATCCGCTATTGTGTGTAGAACAAACCCGCCTTAAGAGGAGACGAGGGACTACAAGAGTAGATGATACTAGGAAAGATGTCATTATCATATGTGGTAACGGTCAAGAGATTTCTGAACTAGGCCCGAACTTCTTAAGGCCTTAAGAAAAGCTCATGGTAACTTACTAGGTTAAGAATGCGATGAGATCCTATAAGTAGGTTGTTTACTGAGTACTTTTTTATTTTTATTTTCTTTTGTTTTGTCTTTTAGTTACAGTCCAAAATTTGAAGCCTAAAAAATTTGGTCGTGAAAGATTAGTATTGGAGCAGTCGAGTTTTAGGTCCTATAGATTTTTTTTAGGGTGGAGAGTCATAAAGCTCTATGACTCAACTCGGGATGACCAAGTAAGTTATCTGAACCTAAATTATATATTAAGTTTAATGAGATTGTACCTTAAGAGCCTTCTGTTTATGATGGTTACTATTATACTTTCTAAATGGAATGACGTGCTAGAATATGTAGTAACCAAAGTTTTTTACCTCGGACAGATTATGGCTCAAAAAAAAAAGAGGCAACGACTGACTAACCGGGTCCATGAGGTACAGGAGAAGGACCATAGTTGACACTATTGCTCAGATGCATGACGATGAACAAAACGGACCTCAGGAAGTTGTTAAAGAGCAGCCACAGGACGTCGACGAAGTGAGGCCTCAAGTGCTAGCGTCTTGGAGAGGGAAGAGAAAGGTCGCGACTGACACTGCACCACACATAGACTCGAAGCCGAACCGACTGGGGTCCAAGAGATACTAGAGACATTCATGAGGTCCACTCTAGAGACCAGGGCACAGGCTAGCCATATGCGGTTGACTTTGGGGGCTAGTTAGACATCAAAACTCATAAGAAAAATTTTAAAAGAAAGGTTTTGACTTGTTACCCTGCTTGGTTGGTTGTTCATGGGCGTGTTAGTGTGATGGAAGGCGATGCTGGCAGCAATGAGGGCGATGGGCATGCAATGGCTCGCTACACGTAAGAAATTATATGAAAGTACTTTAAGAAAACATAGATGGTTGGGCAAGGAGCTACCTGCAAAGACGACTAAGCAAGGCGACGTTTGCACCCGAGAGTGTGAGGGCAATTGAGTAAGAGGCATGGCATGTCGTCTGTGAGAAGTCGTGTCGTGAGTGTTATCTGCACTTTTGCAGGTGTTTGAGGTCAATATGACTACTATGATATTTCCAGACCCTTTCTTACCATTTTCGTCTCTTCGAGAGCCGTTTTTAGCACTGTTGCAGGTGTTTGAGGTCAATATGACTACTATTTAGCCTAAATTATTCGAAGCTAAGTTTAGATTATTTTTATGCAATTAGATGAGCCAAATTTCGTAGTAAAATTCTAAATTATGATTATGAAACTCTTTGGGTGGAATTAGATTTCAAGGAGAAGAGTGACTCCGACTTAGACTAACCAAGTAAGTGGTTCACTATTTGACGCCCATGGGCTTGATTGAATGACTTGTAAGTCGATTGAATGATACGTACCCTGTGGCTCCTGTACTTATCATATTTTATGATGTTATGGTGTATGATGTGTGTTATGTTATGTGACAATTTATGCAATAATATGAACTATGCTAGGATATGAATGTTAGAGGATGCATGAACCTCCATATGTTGTGTCACGTATATAATGTTAGTATGTTCACACTATGCTAATGAAAAATTGATAAGCCATGTATGTTAACCACGAAAGATATGTCGAATACATGTATGCATGTCTCATAGGAACGTCATGCTATGAAAATAATGGAGGTATGATTTGCATCATATATACGATGATTTGAAATTATGGAAGCTCATGCATTTTGATGTCATGTGCATCGGGATACTTTCCGATTATATTAGTATAGATGCATACACCACAATATTATGTAGCCCATGATATTACGTGCGCTCTTTTTCCTATGTGGCTTCCAGTGTAAGTGTGCGCTAGCCCGTAGTCAATCCCATGAGGTACATATACGAATTCGTCTGGTGAGTCCATGTGCGTGTGTGTGAGCCATGTGCAAAGAAGTACTACACATCTAACCTTGTCTTAATTGGGAAAATAGAGACTAAACCGTGATGTTTTATGAAAGGATTCTACCCAAATAGTAGTGCCACTCACTGAGTATTCTTAAATACTCAAGCCACGTACTACTCATTTTTCAGGTAAATATAGGGCATCATGTACAGATGACGACGTCACTATAGGCCATATAAACAAAGTCAGAATAGTTACCTATGTATTACAAATCACTGGTCAAATACACCCTAAATTTCTCAAAATTAACACAAAAGGAATATAATAATAATAATAAGTAGGGGTGTACTGGTCCGAGTTGGGTTGAGTTGGGGGATTTTTTTGACCTAACCCAAAAATTCGGGTTAGTTGGATTGGTAACCCAACCCAACCCAAAACTTTTCACAACCCAACCCAACTCTCTATTCTTGGGTTGGGTTGTCAATTTTTGGTTCGGGTTGGGGAATTTTTTTGACCCAACCCAAAAATTCGGGTTAGTTGGATTGGTAACTCAACCCAACCCAAAACTTTTCACAACCCAACCCAACCCTCTATTCTCGGGTTGGATTGTCAAATTTTTTTTTAATTATCCACAATTTATAATTATTTGGATATAATTTTAGATAAAATATATTAAGAGTTCACAAGACAAACACAAATTAATGTATAATTATTCAAAAAAAGATAAAAAAATAAAAAAAATAAATTTAAAAAATAATAAAAAATAAAAACACAAAAAGTTGAGAATATGCTTTAAAATTTTATATATATAATTTACGGAGAACACTTCAAAATAACTTAATATATAAATTTAAATTTTGAATATGCTTTAAAATTTTATATATATAATTTAAGAAGAACACAACAAGCTACTACCAGCTTCAAAATAATTTAATAATAAAATAACTTAATATATAAATTAGAATTTAGAACATGCTTTAAAATTTTATATATATAATTTACGAAGAACACTACAGACTTCAAAATAATTTAATATATAAATTGTCAAATTTAAGCGCGAATGTCTCCAAACTGACCTCAATGTTGTTGGATGATGGAAGTCCCACATCGACTAATTTAGGGTGTGATCATGGGTTTATAAGTGAGGAATACTAACTCCATTGGCATGAGGCCTTTTGGGGAAGCCCAAAGCAAAGCCATGAGAGCTTATGCTCAAAGTGGACAATATCATACCATTGTGGAGAGTCGTGTTCCTCTAACATGGTATCAGAGCCATGCCCTAAACTTAGTCATGCCAATAGATTGGTAAATCCTCAAATATCAAACAAAGAACTCTTAAAGAAAAGGAGCTAAGCCCCTCCTCGAAGGCCGTCAAAAATGACTAAGACTCCAAAGGAGTCGAGCCTCGATTAAGGGGAGGCGCACTTTGTTCGAGGGGAGGTGTTGGATGATGGAAGTCCCACATCGACTAATTTAGGGTGTGATCATGGGTTTATAAGTGAGGAATACTAACTCCATTGGCATGAGGCCTTTTGGGGAAGCCCAAAGCAAAGCCATGAGAGCTTATGCTCAAAGTGAACAATATCATACCATTGTGGATAGTCGTGTTCCTCTAACAAATGTCACTTTGGTAAACCCTTTAATACCAACAAATTCTTAATATATTTTATATATTTTTATTTGGCTCAGGAGAACTCGAAGGTTTTACCCATGGCCTCAAAATCGAACCGATTCCGTTCGGGTTCAGAAAAATGAACCCAACCCTATCCGAAATGCTAATCCAACCCAACCTAACTCTTATAGTTCGGGTTGGGTTGGTCCGGGTTATCGGGTTGTCTAGTTGAATGTAGACCCCTGATAATAAGTAAATTAAATGTTTGGGTGGTTAGATATATATTATTTAAGGAAATGTACAAAAATCACATAAAAATAATTAATATTATACAATTTATACACCGATAATTATAGTATTTAAAAAAAAAAAAAAGCTAAATAATTATCCAATGTTAAATACCTATTGGAGATATAAAATTATTATTTAAAGGATTGGTCAAATTGATGAAATGAATTAGAATAAAATTAGGGGTTGCAATTTTGTTTATACCTTTTCTTGAACGAGTTCCGATTCATTTCTTGGATCGAACGGCTTTGAGAGGTTTAATCTCCGCTCGTTTCGCCTACGGGAATTTTACAACAACAAATCCCCATTCCGCTTCCTCCAAATCAATTTCCACCGCTTTCTTCCCACAACTCTCTCTCTACCTCTCCTTTCGGTGAGTAATCTTCTTCGAACAAGCTTGCATAGTTGTTCTATGTTTTCTCGGTAATTGTTATCTTTGCTTCTTGTTAGGAAACGCGATCTATCGAAATGGCAGCAGCGAGAACGGCCGCAAGGATTTTTTCTCGAAGGTTCTCCGGCAGCGGGAAGATTCTCAGCGAGGAAGAAAAGGCTGCTGAGAATATCTACATCAAGGTTCCCATCTGTAGCTCTGACCTGTGATTTTTGCGTTTTGCGAATGTTTTTTTATCTGCTTTTCTGATTTTGTAAGGATCGTGTTGGTTGTTTCTTAGATTATATGCAATGAAATGAATTGAAAAGTATGGATTTGGTTGTTGCAGACGTACAGCTTGCTTGCTTTTAGAATTTTTTAGTTTCTGGATGAATCGAACTCTATCCTGTCAAATGAGCCTACTATTCTTTTCTATTTTTAGATTGCTCATTATTCTTTTTTGTTTGAAATAAGATCGTGTCGTTTGGTTTTAGAAACGGCTTACAAATTTGTTTAGGTATTGGAGGAGTTGATGATTTATAGTCAATTTAAAAGGTTTGAAATCTCGCAGTAATGTGTGCAAAGAAGAAGAGAACGTACGATAATGTTTTATTTGATCAACTAGTTATGTCTTACATTTTGAATAATTAGGCCTTAAGATATTTTATTAGGTTAGATTTATCTTCTTATTAGGTTTTTCTTATCGTTCCCTGTTTCATAAATTGTTATATTTGATTGATGAAAATGAAAAGGTTTGGGGAATTTACTCGTGGGAACTTTACATAGTTTTTCCTTTTAAGTTGTTTGGAGACTCATTAATGGCGGTCTAGGCTCCCTCTAAAAAGTGTGCCGTCCTTTTCAATTTCTACTCTCCAGTGTTCAATTATTGTTTCTAATTTATCGTTCTCCGGGATAGATGGTATTATTGAAATTAAGGATCGGTTTTTGGTTATTGCCATATAGGTTCATGATTTTGTAATCAAAGCTTTCTTTGTGTTGAGTTCTATAGTTCTTCATTTTGTTGGTAAATAACAGAAAGTTCTTCCAGTTAGTTGTACTTTATTGTTCTTAATGACAGTTTTTTTGTCAATATATATAACTGAAGTTTTTAATGTGGGACTTCTGTCCAAGTTGAAACATGAAATTGCAAATTCTTGGAGATTTTTCGATGTCAAGAGTTCGTATATGTAGGAGTGAACGCTTCACCATCTGCTTGCTATTATAGTGTCTTCAGTACTTGTTCTCATTGTTTGATTGTGATTTTGCAGAAAACTGAACAAGAGAAACTGGAGAAGCTTGCACGCAAGGTATGTTGTAGTTCCTTATAAAATTAATTTGAGAACTTGGTGATTGAAATTATTTGGTTCTTGGATAATTTAGCTTCTACAAACGAAATTTTTGTGGTCTTTTTACCATTATAAAACTATGATATGATCTTATAGAAGTAACTTTAGATGTTTTATTCTATTGATGAGGTTTGTCAAGAAAATATATTATCATCTTTGGGGTGAAGAGAGCCACTGATTGTGGTTTGGAAGTATCCTATCCATACCATAAGCTATTTTCATGGTTCCATGATGTTATATGAACCACTTTTTCAACAAATTAATATTTGGAAGATGAGTTGGAAAGACGTTGAGTGCTAAAGCAACTTGATTAGAGTAAATGGAAGCTAAATCCACCGTGGTCTAGTTTTTGAACTAGCTTTTATGTATCTATCAGATGATACTGTCCGTAAACTGATATTTTTTATTTCTTCAATGGATGTTTACTCTAAATCAAAGCTATGATCTCCAAGACATGAATTTACAATTAACCCTTTGAGTCTTTGACCATTTGGCCAATAGAGACTAGTTTTTCCTTTAAGAGCTCAGATTCCCTGGAGAGATTTTAAGCTGTCTGATGTTGTTGCCTGTTTTCTTTTTCGAATTTCATCTTTCTTTGAAGTTTATGTGAATTCCAATCGCATCGTATTCATTTAGTTCCATTATCATATTTACTCTCTCAACTTGTTATGGTGAACTCCTAGTAACATAATTATCCTTTCTCGAGTGAGTCAGATGTTCTAATCTCCCTGGCTACAAATGGCTAATGTATTTAGGGACCGAAACCAGAAGAAAAGCCGGTAGAGTCTGTAGCGGAGTCGATTCCAAGTGGGTCAGCCTCCTCAGGGTCAGGAGCATCAACAGAGAAGATATCTAGTGACAAATACCGCAACTATGCTGTTGTAGCCGGAACCGTGACTATTTTTGGTGCTCTTGGCTGGTATCTCAAATCTAAAAAGAAGCCAGAGGAAGTCCACGACTGAGATAGCTAACAGCATGTAGTTTTTCCATATCATCAGGATCTGGAGGGAGGGAGGGAGGAGGAGTTTGAGTGTTCTCTTTTCCTCTGCTGAATAATCCAGAAATCGAGATGCATGTTGGCTCTTGGTTTATGAATGAATACATTCTGTTCAGATTTACGTTTCTCTCTGGATAATGGGTTTCTTTTCACCCTTATTTCTTTGTCTTGAAAATTAACAGTGAGTTAGAGACAAAAATATGGTCTAATTGGGTTTCATTATCGCATTCTCTCCAACAATATTGAGAAAATAAATCCTCCATTTTGATCTCTTAGTGCAAAGCTAACATGTATCTTTCGATTCCCATTTTGAAATGGACTGTTTGGTTCAAGGTTTCACATGGATAATAGATCCTTGAGAATATTGTTGACTATACTTTGTTATCCATAAGAACTAAAATTTTAATTTAAAATAAAAAATTCAAATTTTTGACATTTGAGAGATCTATTAAACATTTTTGAAGAAGTTATTATTTGAGAATAATTATTTATAATTATTTATAATTAAAAATTTATACAATTTTATTAAAATTATTTATTTGAGAATAATTATTACTTTTTTATTGCTCAATAAATTAAAAAACCTAAAATGAAAGAATATACTTATCAGTAATAAAAAATAAATCAAAATTTAATTTATTAAAATTATTTAATAACTTGACTTAATAAAAATAAACTAACCGTTATCTAAAATTAATTAATACAATAAAATTGTTATAAATAATTACAATAACTAAATAAAAATATTCATACATAATTATTTTGTAAATTATTTTTATTGTTTTATTAATAAAATTATTAGACTAATATAAAAATTATAAGCATATCTCATCTAATATAATTTACTTAATATAGTTTTATTAAAATTATTTATTTAAAAATAATTATTAAGATTCATTATAAAATAAACTTAAAAAAAAAAACATAAAATTAATAATCATGGTATTGAGCTGGAGTCGGTTAGAGTTATGGATCCACATGAAAAAAAGTGGATGATGAAAGGGTAATCAAATGCATCGATTTGCGAACGAATAAGTGGAATTCCACGCCATGCCGCTGCCTAAATTTGAAGCATAGTTCCACAGCGGCCTTCCAATTCTCACTTCGCCTCTTTAAACTAACGATTTGGTGAAGAAAAAGCGACCGCTGCCCTCGATTTCATCAAACTACAGAACAATCCCAACTCACTGACCTCCTAAGAACCGCAAATGGCGGCCGCAAGAAGAGAGGTTACGGTTTCAGCTCTGCAATTCGCTTGCACAGACGACGTCTCTACTAATGTCGCCACCGCTGAAAGGTTTTACTCTTTTTCTCAATGGTTTTTTACTTGGAATTTCTATTGCGTACATGAGTTTCTTGATTAAGTTCATTAATCTATCCTGGGTGTTTGATTTTGTGTAATCTTAATTCTTGTTGGTACCATCGTTTCACGTCCCTGTAACTGTGTTGCTCACGCTGTTTCAATTTGTTTCTGGTTATTACTGTATTTACGAACTGAGATATGGTCTATGTTCTTGCTGTTCTGAGGATTATCTTATCATAACCGAGAAAATATCAGTTTCTATTTGATTGTAGGGATTTTATGCTGTAGATATTGTGTATCTACAAATTGGTATTAGAATTTTTCTGGATCACTTTCTTTGGCAATGAATCTTACTAAAACATGTGAGCTAATCAGATTTCTCCTGTAGACTCTTTCTTGCTGCGATTGGGGTTTGAGAGTAAATTCAATTGTCATATTGTTTTGATTTTTATGCTCCCGTTCGAAAGATTGCTGTTTCGAGTTGATAAGTATGTGTTTGAAGATGCAACTTGAATGTTCATTTATCTGCAGGCTGGTTAGATCGGCACATGCAAAGGGTGCAAACATTATCCTAATTCAGGTATACAAACTAGAAACTAAATCTATGAACTTTTCTCTTTGGAAGGTTAAGTGTTTCACATTGACACTCATTTTTTTAATTTATATATTTTAGTTATAGAGTATGGTCCAAAAAAATCTCATAAAATTAGAGCTACGGCATTAAGAGAAACGGATGAAGAATCAAACTAACAAAGCTGCTTGAATCATACCCTCTTTGCAAATTAGCTGTGAGTAAACAAATGGTCCAAGAATTTAACATCACTTTCACATCTAGGAGGCAGTGAAAAATAGGGATTTCTCCCCTTTAAGAGATCATAAATATTTAAACTTTTCAAATCTCGAGGACAAAGTAACACTCTACCAGCGGCTGCAAAAGGATAAAAAAAGACCAATATTTAACTGGAAGTGATTTCATTGGAAATATTTACGAGAAAATTGATTTTAGAAAGGCTCCTTTTGGACAGAGGCAATCTATTAACTTAACTTGATACAGCCTAGAATTGAAAAAGGAGTTAATGAACCAAGCAACCAACATGTGATATGAACCACGACCAAGGAATTTTCATACCTCAAGGTCCTATTACAAGGACGAGAGCCAAGAAGTTACATCAAGCTTTAGTCACTTATATTCAAGTTGTGGTGAGCTCGTCAAAGGAAACTCTAGAAGATGTTGGAGTCCTAACCTAAATGTTGTGCAAAGTTGAGCTTCAAGACAGAGATGCATAACATATAGGGAAGGAATCCAACATCTTTTAGAATTTCCTTTGATGAGCTCACCGCAGCTTGAGTATAAGTGACTAAAGTTTGTTGTAACTTCTTGGCTCTCGTCCTTGTAATTGGACCTTGAGGTATGGAAATTCCTTGGTCATGGTTCATATCTACATGATTCAAAGACGGTATATTCAAGGAAAAGATATATATATATAAGAGCCTGAATCAAATGCTAGAGCAGCATATGCATAAGCAGTCAGTGAATGTTACATTGTGACGGTCCTGTTGCTATCTTGTTTCTTCATGTGGAAATTGTTAAATAGTGCTTTGTGCATCTATTGTAAAGATACTGTTTGCTAAGGGACAAACAGACCAGACAAGTGATTCTTTTTCTTTGTAGTCAACTGGTAGCAACTAGCGGTTTTGTTTTTGGTTTTTTTTTTTTCACTGAACTTTTCGTTATGGATTTTCACAGGAACTGTTTGAAGGCTACTACTTCTGCCAGGCACAAAGGGAGGATTTTATTCAACGAGCCAAGCCTTATAAAGGCCATCCGACAATTCTTAGGTAAAGTTAAATTGACAACGACATTTCTCTTTATTTGGCATTCAGGATATGTTTACACTTTATCTATTTCAGACCTCAAATCAGAGTGACACATTCTCGACTTCGTCTTTTACAGATACTTTTCTGTCAAACTTATTTCAGTATCTGTTTTTTTGTCTAGGATGCAACAACTTGCAAAAGAGTTAAGTGTGGTGATTCCTGTTAGTTTCTTTGAGGAGGCTAATAATGCCCATTATAACTCCATAGCCATAATTGATGCTGATGGGTCAGATATTGGACTTTACAGAAAGTCCCATATCCCAGATGGACCAGGTAGAAAATAACATATATTTTCTGACACAGAACTTCGTGAACTTTTTATTTTTTAATTTTTTTATATATATTTAATAGTTAATTTTCTACAGGCTATCAGGAGAAGTTCTACTTTAATCCTGGTGACACTGGGTTTAAAGTGAGTGTTTTTCTTTAGTCTTCTTAATCTGCACGTTAATTGGAATTGAATTCGATGACCAGTGGAACTCATCATCATTCTTTTTTATGCTTGAACAGGTTTTCCAGACAAAATTTGCGAAGATTGGAGTTGGTAAGATATAATTGTTTTGCTTCTTGCACTACTATAAAATTTTGTAGTTTGGTCCATAATCTTTCAAAAGTTTCCGTGTCGTCCTTGATAATTGCTATTTGCAGACACTATAGCTAGTTGTGAGTACTATCCATTGATAGATCTGAATTAAATCAAAAGGAATTGTTGGTGTTGATTTACTAGAGAAGAAAAATACTATTGTATTATGTTTTCAGTATATTACAACCATAGATTTAAAGAGGTGAATTTGTACAGTTAAGGAAATACAGCTAGTGGTAACAAGGGGGAACCCTAACGGTAGGAAAAAGAAACAAGGGAAGGAGAAAATATGTGGCTTTTAGGTCATCAAATATGCCTTTGAATAATGCCTTTATGGGAATATTGACCATTTGCATCTTGTTGATATGTAATTGAGAAACATACTGATAAGACAATCCTAATCTTCCCCAACGATCCAAGCTTTTGTTGAAGCAAGAACCCTTGAATCAAAGAAATTAACACCTCCTTATACAAAATTTGGATCCACCAAGTAATAAGCTAGAATTAGATTACCTCTTAAGATCAAAGATCTAGAAGCAAGATTTTGAACCTTGTTCTAAATTGTGTCACTTCACAATGAAACTTGATCAAGACTTGACTAAATGACTCGGATGCAATCTACCACAAGAGTTGCTTGAAACTTAAGAAATGACAAAAATGATGCTCAAATTTCTAAGGGGTAAGTCTCAACTTGAGAGCTCAATTTCATTCATAAAAAATCTGCCTTTTTACATATTAATTCGTGGGTGTTTATAGTCTCTCCACAAAAGAAACTTCTAACTCTTCAAATGCCCACTAAAAGAAGTTAGTGGCCATGATTGGTAAATTACTCCCCATTACCCTTCAGATGTCCGCTAAAAAAGAAATTAGGACCATTTTGACAAGTAACTTCCCATCCTTTTACCCACTACAAGAAGTTATGAAACTAAAATAATAAATAAAGTTTGCAAATAAATTATCAATCAAGTGCTATTTATAGCAACCCCATTCTCCACTTCAATCGTGCAAATATTCGTTTCCGAAGCTCCAAATGGTCTTTCCTCAATCGAATCAGCTTGTAACACATAAAATGGAGGTTGAACTGGGCCTATCCAATTTTGTAGATGACGAATGAATGCTTGTTGAATCTTCTTAGCCTTGGATCGTGTAATAGGTCCATTTGGAACATTTGGAACACCACGATCCTTATCACATACTCTTGCTTTCAATTCTCTCTTTGATGTATTGACGATCATTTTCCAAATGCTTTATACGATTGAGGTGAATTGGGTCTTTGGCAATACTTATGGTGGCTTGGTTATCACAGTAGACTTCCATTGTTACTTTTAGTTCGGATAAAATTCTTTGTATCCATATTCCTTCACATTTCCTTGTGCGAGAGCTCCTATTTCTCAACTTTGGCACTGCTTCTTGATATTACTGGATGTTTTTTACTCTGCCATGTTACTAGGTTGCACATACCTACAACAGCCGGTAGTTGATCTTCAATCTACTTTTTGAACTTTTCCCAATTAATACCAGTGGAGACTTCGATCTTTCTTTTTGTTGACTTCTGGAAATACAATCGTTCTCTAGGTGTTCCTTTTAGGCATCTTAGAACATGTAGACTGCTGGCATATATTCTTTGGTTGGGATTTCATAAATTGGCTTACATAGCTAACTGCAAAACAGATGTGAAGTCTAGTGTGAGTGAAATATATAAGTTTTCCAACTAGTCTTTGATATTGTTCTTTGTTAGCTTGAACATTTTGTTGCCAAGATCGTGATTAGGATCAATAGAAGTACTAGCCGTGGCGCGTACTTGCCAAGATTGTGTTTTTTACAACTTTTGAAAACTTCTCAAACCATGCCTTCGGAGATTGTTTTAGACCATAATGGGATTTCTTGTGTGGGCACACTTTACTTGTAGTTTCTGGTGTCTCCATTCCAATTGGAACATCCATGTAAACCTCTTCTTCTAAGTCCATTAAGGAAAACATTTCTTTTTTTTGTCTAATTGGGGAAGAACCCAATCAACATTCACAGCTGGGAGAGAAGCACAGATGTTTAGTTTTGCTACAGGAGCAAATGTTTCTTGGTAGTCAATGCCATATGATTGGGTAAACCCTTTTGCAACCAATCTTGCTTTATATCTATCTATCTGTGTCACCATTTGCCTCGTGTTTGATGGTAAAAAACAATCCCTGCCCTACTATTTTCTTACCTTGGGTAGCTCTGTTATTTCCATGTGTGGTTCTTCCAAGTTATTTATTTCTTCCATTACTGCTTTCTTCCAATCATGGTCTTTGAGGGCCTTGCATATTGTATTGGGTATATGTAGGGTAAAAACGTTAGTAGTGAAGGTCCCAACTTGTATGGTAGAAAGGTTAGTAGTGAAGGCTTGGAAATTGGGAAAGAGATGTTTATAGGAAGGGTAGTTTTGTATGGGACAGGTTCATTTTTAGGAGCTCATCGACCGATCGAATCACAGGAGTTACTACTGACACAAATTATTTGCTTTGAAAACTAATCTGTACAAACAAAATTTTTTCTTTAAGGTCGATCGAATCACAGGAGTTACTACTGACACAGATTATTTGCTTTGAAAACTAATCTGTACAAACAAAATTTTTTCTTTAAACTTTAGTAAAACAAGTGTGTCACATTATTATATTCAATAAACGTAAGATTAGGTAATATTTACAACTATAACCGGTATAAGTTTTTAACAACAAAAACGCATGTACATAAAATCGACTCGGAAAAGGATTCCTTGAAGTCTCTATAGCTCAGTTGCCTCGTCACCTCGGTTGCTCTGCATCACATTTATCTGGAAAGAAAAATGAAAATAATTTTGATGAGAATTAATTTACTCAACAAGTAGCTCTACAAGTTTTATTAATCATCTTTCCCACTACTCTTAATTTTTATCCGCCAGTTATTCCTATTTTCTTTTATTAGGATCTTATGTTCATTAAAACGTTTTTTAGCTTCTTCTAGCTTAGGTTATTGACTCTCTGTATGCTTATTTAGAATTTTCAGACACGTATATAAGACTCTCTCGATCGAATATGGCCTGTCTACTAATTTCTTTGGTGACTTGTAACATCATATAATCTAGCGGTCAGAAATCCTTATTGTTTCCAACTTAAATTACAGCGTGTTGGTCAGGAATTCTACGGGAATTAGTAGACTAACAATGGTCAGGAATTCTGCGGGAATTAGTAGCCTAACAATATTCATACATAGCCCATGACTAACCTAGAATCAACCTTTTATATATTATTTATTGAGTCAACCTTTTATATATTATTTATTCATATATAGCCCATGGCTAACCTAGAATCAACCTTTTATATATTATTTATTGCACGCTCATATTTTATGCATGCATTCTTATATATATAAATATATATTCAACTCATGAAACATTTTAGGCATGCAATCATAATATAGAAACAATTAATCATATCATACACATATATTACTATATTAATTCACTATATTAATTCTTAATCATGAAATCAACCTGCTCGTATATTTTTAAAAAGTTAAGAACTTGTTTGTGAAGCTCGATATGCTACTTGCTCGATTTTGAACTCTTCCTTCTTGTAATGTATGCTTAAAAGGTAACTTGACATAATTTCTCTTAATTGGACCTATATTTAACAATTTTCAAGATTTGTATAGGCCAATATTGATAAAATAGGTTCAAACGGAACAAACTGGGAGCTGAATAGAAGCCTCGCGCCCAGTAAGCTTCTCCCATACGCTCATGGTTTGCCCAGTCGCACATGCCAGTCATAGCCCTCACGCGCCCTCACGCGCGCATGTGTTCTGCATGCGCCAACGTCTTCTTTCTCACAACTTTCTGAAAATTTTCAGCTTTTATATTAATTTCTTTTTTGTCCTTCCCAAAACATATAAACTCACATCACACACACCTACCTTCCTTTTTGTTGAGTTCATCACAACTCTTCCCTCCTTTAAGAACTTCCGCCCTGGAACACCTACCTTCCTTTTTGTTGAGGTCATCACAACTCTTCCCCCCTTTAAGAACTTCCGCCCCGGAAAACCTACCTTCCTTTTTGTTGAGGTCATCACAACTCTTCCCTCCTTTAAGAACTTCCGCCCCGGAAAACCTACCTTCCTTTTTGTTGAGGTCATCACAACTCTTCCCCCCTTAAAGAACTTCCGCCCCGGAACACCTACCTTCCTTTTTGTTGAGGTCATCACAACTCTTCCCTCCTTTAAGAACTTCCGCCCTAGAACACCTACCTTCCTTTTTGTTGAGGTCATCACAACTCTTCCCTCCTTTAAGAACTTCCGCCCTGGAAAGTATCTGATTCTAAAAACAAATGTGGATAGACACGTCTAAACTTCTCTTCAAGCTCTTAAGTAGCTTCTTTGACTTATTGTTTTTTTCACAAAATTTTAACAAAGGAAATCCCTATTACGTAAAGATTTCACTTCCCGTGCTAAAATTTTTAAAGGTTGTTCTTCGTAGCTCAGATCCTCTTTCAACAGTACGTCTTCATAACGAAGAACATGCGCAGAATCTGCAACTTACCTTTGTAGCATTGAAGCATGAAAAACGTTGTGTACTGCCTCCAATGCCGGCGGTAAAGTCAATTTGTACGCTATTGGACCTACTCTTTCGAGAATCTCAAACAGTCCAACGAAACGTGGACTAAGCTTCCCTCTTTTGTCGAATCGTAAAATGCCATGAATAGGAGCGACCTTTAGAAAAACATGGTCACGTAGCAACTTCAAATCCTTTCTTCTAATATCAACATAACTCTTTTGACGATTTTGGGTGGTCAAGATCCTCTTTCTAATTTTCTGTATTGCCTCATTAGTCGTCTGTAGCAAGTCTGGACCCAATAACTCACGGTTAACTACCTCTTCCCAGTAGATCGGAGTTTGACACCTTCGTCTGTAAAGCGCCTCAAAAGGAGCCATCTGGATAGTTTTCTGATAACTATTGTTATAGGCAAATTCTACCAAATATAGGTAAGTATCCCAACCACCGACAAAATCTAGTATGCAAGCACACAACATATCTTCGATAATCTGATTCAGTCTTTCTATTTGCCCATCTATTTTGGGGTAAAATGCTGTAGTGAACTTCTGATGGGAAAAAGAGCTTTCGGTTTTTGGGTACGAAGCCGAGCAGTATTCTCAAGACTATAACTGCTTTAAAAGCTAGAAAGTTGATTAGTTATGGTGCTTGGGGGTTCCTGGCTAGTGTTGTACAAGTGAAACGAGTTACACAGATGTATCGTCTGTACCTATAGTAAATGAATTCTTGGATGTTTTTCCTGATCAATTACCTAGTTTGCCATCGGAGCGGGAAGTCAATTTTGGCATTGAACTGGAACCAGGAACGACACCTATTTCTAAAGCTCCTTACCGGATGGTTCTTGCAGAATTGAAGGAATTAAAGCTACGTGAGCTATTGAATCAGGGGTTCATATGACTTAGTGTGTAGCTGTGAGAGCTAAGGATGGCTCCTGCAGAATTGAATGAATTAAAGCTACATGAGCTTTCTTGAACAGTTTTTACCTCGGTGCATATGTCTCTCATAGTACTTAGAAGCCGGGAATGCCACTTTGGAGCATCGCCTTTTTTTGCCGTCTGTTCTTCTGCACCTTCTAGGCTCAGGGTCGATTTTCCTCCCGTAACCCATTTGCAAATAGTTCCATCCAACTGAACACAACAAAAAGAGGAAACATTTGTATGATATAATAGAAATAAAAATAACGTTAAAAGAAAATGGGTGAAGTTACCGTGGGCATATTGGTGGGGAAAGAGGGTGGAAATGAAAGGAGAGTGGAAAGAGGTTGTGTTGATGGTGAAGAGCAGATGGGGTGGGAGAGGGATGCCGGACCATGTACTTGAAGATGAGGGCTTGGAGCTCCAGCTCTTGCCACTGAGCTGCAGTGAATGGAAGCCTGTTTCTTCCTCCGCTCATTGCCTCCAAGTGAGGAGGAAGAAGAAGAAGAAGAAATAGGTATATTTATTTATTTGAGAGGGAGCAGAATCTTGTGTGCATGTGTTTACGAGAGCCAAGGATTTCTTGGTAGCAGTTGATGGTAGTTTGAAATGGCAGAATCGAACATGCATACCGAACGATGTAGAGATCAAAAGGAAGATTTTATTTGAAGCTCATGAGTCACCTTATACTGTGATAAAATGTATCAAGACTTGAAAATATGTTTTTGGTGGCCTAGGATGAGGATGTTGCTGAATATGTGATTAGCTGTTTAACTTATTAACGAGTTAAGACACCTAAACAAAAACCTGCTGGATTACCGCAAGCCCTAAACGTGCCCCAGTGGAAGTGGGAAGAGGTGACCATGGATTTTATTACAGTATTACCTAGAACCCGACCAGGATTTACTGTGATATGGGTTGTTGTAGACAGACTAACTAAGACAACTCATTTTATACCAGAGAAGTCAACATATTCGGTTTACAAGTGGGCAAACAAAAAGACTGAATCAAATTATCAAGGATATGTTGCGTGCGTGCATACTAGATTTTGCCGGTGGTTGGGATACTTATCTATATTTGATAGAATTTACCTATAACAATAATTATCAGGCAACTAACTAGATGGCTCCTTTTGAGGCGCTTTACGGACGAAGGTGTCGAACTTTGATCTACTGGGAAGAGGTAGGTAAATGTCAGTTGTTGGGTCTAGACTTGCGACAGATGCTTAATAAGGCGATACAAAAAATTAGTAAGAGGATCTCGACCATCCAAAGTCGTCAAAAGAGTTATGCTGATATTAGAAGAATGAATTTAAAGTTTGCTGAAGTTTTTTTTCCCTAAAGGTTGCTCCTATTCATGGCGCTTTACGATTCGACAAAAGAGGGAAGCTTAGTCCACGTTTCATTGGACCGTTTGAGATTCTTGAAAGAGTAGGTCTAGTAGCGTATTACCTGGCTTTACCGCTAGCATTGGAGACAGTACACAATGTTTTTCATGTTCCGATGCTACGAGGATATGTTGCAGATTCTGCGTGTGTTCTTCATCATGAGGACTTGCAGTTGAAAAAGGATCTGAGCTACGAAGAACAATCTCTCAAAATTTTAGCATGAGAAGTAAAATCTTTACGACATTTCCTTTGTTTAAGTTTTGTGGAAAAACCAACAAATCTACTTTGGAGTGTGAAGAGGAGTTTAGACGTGTCTATCCACATTTGTTTTTAGAATTAGAAATTTTCGGGGACGAAAATTCTTAAAGGGGGAGGAGTTGTGATGACCTCAACATAAAGGAAGGTACGTGAGTTTATATGTTGTGTGGGTGTTTTTGGAATTAGAAACTTTCGAGGATGAAATTTCTTGTAAAGGAAGGTATGTGAGTTTATATGTTGTGTGGGTGTTTTTGGAATTAGAAACTTTCGAGGACGAAATTTCTTGAAGGAGGGAGGAGTTAGTGATGACCTCAACATAAAGGAAAGTATGTGTGTGTGATTTGAGATTATATGTTGTGTTGGTGTAATGATAATAATAATAATTATACGTAAATAAATAAACACAAATAAACAAGTAATTAAAAAAAATAGGGCACAGCTCAACAGAGGAAATAGGAGAAAGGAAACACGTGGAGGCATTAAGACATTTGAAGTAAGGAAGTGGGGGAATGTGGGGAAGTGTTAGTAGAAGAGAATAAGGAAGATTGGAGTAGGTTTGAAAACGAAAAAAAAAAAAAAAACAAACAATACAGAGAAAACAGAGGAGGGGATTTAAAATCCGTTCTTTTTTTTAAAAAATCTTATGGTTTTTTATGGTTGTTATGGTGAGGTGCAAGCTTGAGGATAGACGAACGTGTTGGAGACCCTCGCTGATGGAAGCTCAAGAGTTAAGTTGTATTAGGCAATGTACAAATGTAATGAAAATCTATACTTTCGAAGCTTTAAATCTTGTTATCTTGACGTATGTAGGTAATAGGTTATAAAATAAGGCTGGTTAGATTCATAGGAATGAGATCTACCAAGTTGCAGAACAAATCAGGATGAAATTTGGGGTGTAAGATGATATTTTTGGGCAAGGACACAATGAATTAATGTAAAAGCTGGAAAGTTGCAGAAAGTCATGAGGAAGAAGACACTAGCGCGTACAAAACACGTGCACATGTGAGGGCTGCGACTAGGCCGACCATAAGCGCGTGGGAGAGGCTTACTGGCGTGTGAGGCTTCTGTTCGGCTCTCGGTTTGTTCCGTTCGACTTCTTTTGACCTATTCTATCAAGATTGGTCTATACTTATCTTGAAGATTGTTAATATAGGTTTAATTGGGAGAAATTGTGTTAGGTTACCCTTTTAAGCATACATTATAAGATGAAGGAGTTCAGAATGAAGTAGCATATCGAGCTTCTCAGACAAGTTCTTTAACTTGTTTTGAAATATACGAACCTGTTGATTTCATGATTAAGAGTTAATATTAGTAACATATGTGTTATGATTAATGGTTTGTATATTATGATTGCATGCATACTATAAATGAAGTATGAAGATTTTCATGAGTTGAATATATATTTATATATAAAGAATGCAGGAATATAATATGAGCCTGAGCCTGCAATAAATGTCATATAAAAGGTTGTGACTCTAGGTTATGGTTACAGTTACAGTTTATTGAGCCATGGGCTATATATGAATATTGTTAGTCTACTAATTTTCGCGGAATTCCTAACCGACGCGTTGTGGGTTAAGTTAGGAATAATGAGGATTTCCGACTGTTGGATTATTTGATGTTACAGAATGCCAAAGAAATGAACCCGAGAGTTGATTTCTGACCGTTGCAATGTCTTCAATCAACTCTCAGGTTGTCCATTCGATACATTATTTCTTGAATGGGCAGCCCATCTAACTGACCCGTTATTGTGTCAACGGCGAGAGTCTTGTCAGCGAGTTCCTTCACCCGCTTGTCTAGATATCGAATACTGACGAGGACTTTCTGCAAGTATTGCATCTGTTCTTCTATGTCAACTAGTCGGTCGACGTGTAAGTCACACTATTTGGTCGTAGCCATGTCTATCGAGTCACTTTTGGAGCCAACTAGGCTTTGATACCAACGGTTACAATCGCCTTTTTCTTGGCAGCGGATTTGGCAATTGTGTGGCACTCACTCTCAGCACTGAGTGAGTCAAGCCAACTTCGGATCGTGTCGCCTATTACCCACTCTCAGCACTCACTCTCTTCCTTGTTGATTTTGTTCACTTTTTGAAAGAAATTCCTCATTTTATTTTATAGGTTGAAGTATTACATTCAAAACATTAACATATTTTAGTGTTGCATCTGGTGGAACCTAAATAATGATGACAACTTGTTTCATCTCAATACATGATTGCCTTTTTTTGTGAATGTATACTTGACTGCACTTCTGAAATCTGAACTTTATGGTCCAATTTAAAGTCAAAATTAAGAAATGCATGCAATAGTTGAGAAAGTTTTATCAGCAATATGAAGAAGATAAAGGTGCCAAGTCATTTTTATTTCAGCCATTTGCTGGGATCAGTGGTTTCCAGAGGCAGCCAGAGCCCTGGTTCTTCAAGGTGCGGAGATATTGTTTTATCCTACAGCTATTGGTTCTGAACCTCAAGATGATGGACTCGACTCTCGTGATCATTGGAAAAGAGTAATGCAAGGGCATGCCGGTGCCAATTTAGTAAGTTTCTAGACCGACGATACATAACTGACTATATGTTTGCATAAGAATCGGTTTCGTTTTTAGTTTACTGGAAGCCTCCTGGCCTGCTGTTGAACTACCATTTGAGCTATCCCAAAGTAAAATTTGAATTTGAGTTTTGTATGCACAACATTTTGCTTTAAAATGCACTTTTTGACGCTTTTGTTGGATATTATACTTTAATTATACCACACAGAGACGTGCATTTTGTAAGATACCTAATTAATATAAAAACATTCAGGTACCACTAGTGGCTTCAAACCGCATTGGAACAGAGATCATTGAAACAGAGCATGGCAAAAGCAAGATCACATTTTATGGGAATACTTTTATAGCAGGTATTGTGTAATATAGCAACATTTGCAACGTTGAAACATTGATTTGTGAGAAGGTAGTATCTTGATATATAAATGCTTTAACGACAGGACCCACCGGAGAAATTGTTGCTGCTGCTAATGATAAAGATGAAGATGTTTTAGTAGCCGAGTTTGATCTGGATAAAATCAAGTCCAAGAGACATGCTTGGGGAGTCTTTCGTGATCGCCGACCAGAGTTGTACAAGGTGCTTCTAACTTTAGATGGCACCAACCCCATTTTATAAACTTCGGTCTCGACCCGGTTAGTTTTTTATTCTAGAAAGTTGGAAGTTTAAGCAGGATGAGCTTTCAGTCCCCTGTTTATGTTTCAAAGATCAACATAAACAATGGAGCTGAGTTCCCCTGTTTATTTGGTACTAAATCCGTAACTTTTTAGCTGATGCTTCAAAAGCATGGGAGAGGCCTAGAGTTCTCAATCTGCAATATATTTACAGAACTTTTTCTTTTCTTTATTAATTTAGTTGGTGGTCTTAATTTCTGTGGTCTACTTTGAGTTCATCCCGTAGAAGACGATTGTCTTCGATTCAACTACTTTCTAAACAACCTTTTTGAGTTCGTTGAAAGTTGCTATGAAGTAATTTGTAGGCGTCTGAAAAACTTGAAATGGTTTATTGTGATTGGAGTATTAGATAGTCCTGGTGGTCTTAATTTATGTGGCTTACTTTGAGTTCATCCCATAGAAGACGATTGTCTTCGATTCAACTACTTTCTAAACAACCTTTGAGTTCATTGAAGGTTGCTATGAAATAATTTGTAGGCATCGGGAGACATTTTGGATTTCGTAGGAAAAACTTGAGATGGTTTATTGTGATCGAAGTATTCGTAGATAGTCCTGGTGGTCTTAATTTCTGTAGCCTACTTTGAGTTCATTCGTGGTGGTCTTAATTTCAATTTCTGTGGCCTACTTTGTCGTAGAAGACGATTGTCTTCGATTCAACTACTTTCTAAACAACCTTCGAGTTCATTGAAGGTTGCTATGAAACAATTTGAAGGCGTCGGGAGAAATATTTTGATGTCGTAGGAAAAACTCAAAATGGTTTATTGCGTTGGAGTATTCGTAGATAGTCCTGGTGGTCTTAGTTTCTATGGCCTACTTTGAGTTCATCCCGTAAATGACGATTGTCTTCGATTCAACTACTTTCTAAACAACCTTTGAGTTCATTGAAGGTTGCTATGAAGTAATTTGTAGGCGTCGGGAGGAACATTTTGGATGTCGTAGGAAAAACCCGAAATGATAGATAGTCCGGGTTAGGAAGTGGGAAAATTTGGTATCATTCCATTTCTTCGTTTGTGGAGTTCTTCAGCCCATTAAATTCTGTTCGGTAAAATATGAATGAAACAGAAGAAATCATTGTTTCTGAAATTAGACAAAGAACTTCAAATGGGACAGAAAATTTCTAGGGAAGAAGGCAATCAATCACCAAATCAAAAAAAGTGTTCAGAAGGCATAATCATCCTTTTAGAGAAGAAAACTTGGAAATTCTAAGCTTCAAATACTCTCTATCTCTAAGAAAGTGATGGACTCTTATCTCATTGTGGGCTAGTTTCAACCTTGCATTTCCCGGTACTATTTTCTTCGTTATTCCTCGTGTTGTTCTTGTTGTTTGTCGTGTTGTTCTTGTTGTTTGTCGTGTTGTTCTTGTTGTTTGTTGTCGTCGTCTTCTTCCTTGGCGTCTCTGGTTTGCTTATTAGGAACGAGAATATGCAGTTTCAGGCGTCCATTTTCGCGGGAAGCATGTAGAAATTCATGGGTAGGGACTCTTATTTCCTTCAATATAAACCTTCCACCATATCTATAGGATTTGAATCCAACCCAAGGCTTCCCACTGTTCCCCATACAAGAAATTGGAGGAGGAAAATCATCAACATTAGCAGATTTTGTCCTCTTAATCATCCCAGGTTTCCAAATAGGATTCTGAATCTGTTTCTTTAAGGTCTCTTCCTCTTCTTCCTCCCTCTGCCATTCCTCTTCATCCATCCCCCCTTTCAAATCCTCACCATCATCTAAGCTTTCATACCCAAGCCCTTCTGTGCATAGTTGCAGGCTTTCTGAATTGGTTGATGAGAAGCTATTACTTCTCCCATGGGAGCTGGAAGATTCACCATTTGACAACGGTTCTTTCCATGGAATGATACCGACAGCGGCAGGAGACGGAGAGTTCGATTCTGTCAAAGACAACTGAGGTGACAAAGGAGGAACAAAACTCTCCTTGAAATGAAGCTCTCCAAAAATCTCTGTAAACGACGATTGCTGCTCGGATGGCGTCACAGCTATAATCTGGCTCCATGACGAGAGTGTGTCGAGAAGGGTTGGATTCTCCGGTAATGGGGTTTCGAAGATGTGTTGCAGGCTTCCACAGGCAGCCATGGGTGGATAGTGTATGCAGTATTTGCAGGGAGAGAGCAATATATGGTTGAAAAGGAAGAGATTTGAGAAGAGATAGGATGGTTTGTGAGGTTTGAAATGATGAAAAGAAGGTGGCTTTAAACTTGGTGAGTTCCAGACATTTTGGGATCTGTTGAGTGTTTTAGAACCAAATCTAAATTTTGTGGTAATTAGGGTATCTGTTTTTATAGTCAACATTTTTATCTTTTATCTCAAGGAAACAGTAAAAACACAGCAAGATGTGGTTAATTTTGAGGTTAATTTCCATCTGTCAATTCCAGATAAGAGGGATAATAAAAGAGAGAAAAAAGAGGATATATTCACATGATAATCGAATTTATTCTAAATCATGGCCATGAGATTTTTTCTAGATTTTTTTTTTTTGGATTAATAGTATTTTTTTGTTTTGTTTTAACAGGTGTATTAATTATTTGAACGTTCGATGTGAATATATATAATAACGCTATGTTAAAGTCCAGTTAGATGTGCACATTTGTGTGATGCTTGCTATACGGATGGATAAGTGAATTTGTGCGAAACATGAATTTAATGAGAAAGAACTTATTCTTTGTTGGGTGAAGAAATGTATTCGTCATAATCGTTTCACTTTTTTTTTTTTTTTTTTTGGGCCTAATCAATCTTTTGGGTTTGCATCCTCTACACTTAAGTTCGAGTGTAAAGGAATAGATGTTAAAATCGTTATAAAAATTTAGTTGGGATTTCAGGAAGAATTTAAATAAATCTATTAAAGTTCAATTTAGTGGACGTTCTTATTTTAAAACTCATATATGATGCTAAAAATACTCAATTAACCTAGTGATATACTCCTAATTATAAGAGAAGTTTTGTTTTGTGGTCGACTAATCTAGAATGCCTTCAATTGATCTATTGAACGGGAGCTAGGTGTTACAATCGCACTTTGGGCATGCGGCTATGGACAACACACCTTGGACGAGCATGACCATGACACTGAATACATGCAAATTGAAACAAATTGCAACAAATAATGTTTGAATCGTGCTTGATGAACTAAGTCAAAGTTCGACTTGGATTGAACTAGCATGTACTTCTTTGCGTCCAATGGAAGATTCCTATGCTTCTGTTAGTGGAGCTAACAACAAACACGTTTTTTCTGGCAACTTAGATGACAAACTCTCTAAATCATCAACACATAGTGGCATGATGGCTGAGGAGAACTTGATCCTAAAATTGATTAAACTCAAGATCAATCCAAGAGAGGGAAGGGTCATAAACATTTTATTGAAAGATATGACTCGTTGGGTAGAAATCGGTTCATTGATTTTATGAAAACCCTAATATAAACATTATAAATTTTAAACGTACTCATGTGGTATTTTTTTTTCTTAAATTGAGTTACAAATGACATATTAGGGTTAATGAATTCACATCAAATCGTTGTAAAATGTCATTTTTTTTCTTTGCCGTATTAGTGCAAATATGCATATTAAATTATTGAATAAGTTTGATTATGGATTTATTATTTTATTTTACGGAATATTTTCCCTGATTACATTATGTTTTAATTCTTAAGCATTTGGTTTAAGTGTGATTAATATATTGTTATATGATATTTAGAATTAGTCGTACATTTAGATTATCGATAGTACACGATATTCGTTATTGGCATTCTATTTAAAGGATGATACGACATATTTATTTGATAAACATTGACTAATTTATTGTAAATGAAAATGTAAATTTACACGTCTAAATTGCATATAATATGTTCACTTTTAAAGGATCGTTTGAAACTCTTCTTATTCTATTCTATCTATAAATTCTTTTGATCAGTTTGTTTTATCCGTAATTTTTTTTTTAACCTTTTGTGACACTCGAAGTATATGCCTTAAAGAATATAACTTTTTTTTTTCTTCGAAATTTATACTAAATCAATCTGAGAAGCACAATTTTTAATCTCTATCCTTTCATTTTTCTATCGAATGGAATTTATCTTGTTTGTTTTCGAGATTGAATTACACATTTTAAGTAGTCAATTGATATCTTCTCAACTTTGTCGGGTTTACCTAATCCTTTAGCGGGAAGTTCTTTAAAAAAAATAAATGTTAAAAAATTATACCTAATTCAACTATATTCTAGAAAGCTGTGGACAAGGCAAGTACAATAAAATTCTAGCAAGAGCAATGCTCAATTAAAGGTCATCATTTTCACAGTACTAAATGGAATCATATATTCTAGAAATAATGCATTTTTCTAAAAAAAAAATAGTTATTTAAAAGTTTTCATTTTGTTAATATAATATTTATTAAAAAATGCTAATAAATCAATATATTTGATAATAATTTTTAAAAATTTAAATTTTAATATTACAGTATAGTTTTTAATAATTAAAAAAATCTACAACATAGTATTCCGTTCTTATATTACAATTAGAGCCTCAAAATTAATTAAGGCGGGACGAAGAATATAATCCCATCTTCGGCTTCATTTATCTAAAGTGAAAAAATGTTCTCCACTCTTTCTTCATTTCCCTTCTAAACAGAGAATCTCCTGTACTTTCGAGGAGATCCCAACAAATAAAATGGATCTTTATTTTCAAAACAATATTGTATAACATGCATTAAAGGATAAAGGAAAACCGTAGTTCAAAAGAAAATTAGGTTAAATTCAATTAACTTTGAAATTTGTATTAAATAGATTTATAAATTTTATAAAGTATCCCCAAACTTTTAAGGTTGAATAAATGTAAATTTCCATTTTTACTGAGGTGATTAAACATTTTTAAACATTTTAAATTTATTGGTCTTAAAAGAAAGTTTAAGATCCAAGCGAACACTCTACCGTTCATTTTTAAAAAAACGAACACACAAATACCACACTCATTAATCACCTGTTTTTTCCCTTTCCTACCCGTATGTTGTAGAAAAAAAAGACGAAGATTTAATATTCTCAATTTGTAACATTAAGATGAGATTGAGAAGAATGCTATATTGCGAATAGGTGTAAGTCTTACGACTCGTAAACACTTCATGTTGACGGTATGATATTGTCTGTTTTAAATATAATCCTACTTTCAATTTTATCCAAAAGGCTTCCATACTTCGTGAAAATGGTGTACCTCTTCACTCATGTATACCCATTTTGATGGATATCTCCATGGCTAACAACTTTTCTG